ATGTCCCCTACCGTAAGTCATCCGCTTACGAAAGGCGACCATTTGTCTAAGTCTCTCACTCTGCCAGTGACCCCAACCCCAACCCCTGCCCACCCCACCACACACCAATGGCTGCCACACTTGCCACACAGCATTTTATATTAAATTTTTTTGGGGGGAAAAAAACAGAAAGGGCTGTGCCATCGATGTATGAATATTCTCTGACCTTTCCTCAATAAATATCGTTCGTTGCCTTTCCTCTCGTGTGGCATCGAAGAAATTTGGACGTGATTTTCGCTTCACGCACGCATGTCGCACCAAAGAAGAAGAAGGGATGGGAAGGGAAGGGAAGGGAAGGGAAGGGGAGTTGGGCTAGGGGACATGGACTTGTCTCAGGGATTGGTTACGTTGTCCCATGGTCCCTCCTGCCACGCCACCTCCTGCTCCTGTGTGTCCTTCCTTTGGCTGTTTTCTATGTCATGGCACGTATTTTGGATTTCTGCTACATTTGAACTTAATATTTCTACCCCTCCCGCCCTTTCTGCACTCCTGTGGAGAGTGGAAATTTGCTCGCTTTTTTGGCAACATCTCTGTTTTAGCCAGGGGAATTTCCTTCGTTTGCTTTTCCTTTGGCGTGTTAATGCCTTTTGGCTATCAATTGGCCATTATGTGCCTGGGAGGGTCCTGTCCCGCCTGCCAGGCTCCTCTCTGGGCTTCCCTTTCTTCCGCCACATAACCATTACCAGAGACTCCTGTAATTCCGTTGTGATTTGGGATTAGGTTTGCTTCTGCTTCTGGCCAAAAGCTGAACAGAGACAGCAAACATCAGAGGAGCAGAGTAGAGCAGACCGGAGCAGACACATGAACACGCCATAAAAATATCTTGGCCAAAAGGCAATTGAATAAATTGTGACCTTTACATTGATTCCAGGCGCTCTCTCTCCCCCTCGGTGTCTTGCAGCATCCACTGCTTGCCCCTTGAGTAAATAAAAGTTGAAAAACCATTTATTTTCTTCGACTTTTGCACCCTTTTGCATCCCTCCCCTGTAACATACAACGTAGGTGTGTATATGCTGACACCACGAGCTGATGGTATTGTAGCGACCAGAGGAGTACGCGCTTGTTCCGGCTCTGCTGGCGTCGGCTGGGGGGGGGTGGGGGGGGGTTATAAAAAAGACCACGGTGCTACCTGCTCGCTTTGTATATACATAATTACATTAAAATTCGCGTGCTGGTTTAGGCCAACACACAGGTTCGATCGGACAGACAGAAAGGATAGGAAAACACATCAAATGGACTAGTTATGACACTGCAAGATGTTGTTGCAAAAGATGAGTTGGTTTTAGCTGTTCTACTGCTGCGCTGGTGTTGCTACGACAGCTGATTGCCCGCCCTACCATGATCATCTTAGCCGCAAGACCTAAAGAGGGGCCGATGATCCCTTGAACGAACTAACACTCTACCCTACTTCCATACTACGTCGAGACATGGCACCCACAATCCGAACAACTAGAACATATTGAAATTCAAATTAAAACTTATTTATTATAACAGAATGCTCATAGCAAAGACAAAGGTAGATATTAAAGGGAATTTAAGCGTGCTTCACAACAAGGTTATCACAAAAAAAAGGTTTAGAAGAAAAAGAAAAAAGGTAAAAATAATATATGTATAAATAAAGATAAATAAATGATAATAATAAATAATATATGGTTTGAAAGTAATAAGATTTAAATTCACGTATGTCGTATTCACGTATTAAGTATGTTGAAAAAAAAAATGGTTAAAACTATACTCTCTCCTTCCTCATTCCTTCTCTTATAATCGTTGTAACATGCAATACAAGTAATTTGTGTTCTTCCATCTCCAAAAGCGCTTTTTTCGATGCGAGGCGGCGAATCTGGTGCACTTTTTAAAAAGGGGAGAAACAAAAAAGAAAGCACAAACACAAAATCTAAGGCGAAGAGCTAATATTTTTTTTTCTTCGCTCTCGCGATCTTCGCCTTCTCTATCTTCTATGCTCGCATCTTTTCGGCTCTCAACGCCACAGTGGTGAATACCCGACCATATTAGAAGAGAGAGACATGCACGAAGAACAAAAAGGGAAGAGGAACGTCGATTGCACCAATTAACGGCGTTTTCTAATGCTCCACACAATATTAAAATTTTTAACCAATTTTATGTGACTTTTACATTCCTCGGTAATCACTTACTATTTCATGTGTCACTTAACATTACCCAACTTATTTTACACTTAGGCTAGGGTGGGACAAATAAACTAGAGATATGTATATAAAAATGTTAACCAAGGGTTATTTAACCGACATTTCCCGGCTAGAAAATCGCGGCTTCCCCGTCCAGACGGTGGCTTCGGAGGTGCGAATTAAACTACTTCTCGGCCAATTGCAGCGGCTTCTCTCGGCTCATAAAGCAACTATATAAGGAGGCCTCGTCGGTGGCAGAGTTACTCGCTGCTTTCCACAATTCTCAGTGCACGTTTGCTTGTCGACGCAGAAATGTTTATTTTTTCAGAACACAGACTACTGAGCTGAGCTACAGACTTATGTAGCAAACTATTAAAAATTAAATTATGAAGCAACTATTATATTTTTTCACATTGCCTTCAAATGATTAATCAGCACACTCCATTGTCGTTGCCCTCACACTTATAGCGAGAGCCCTTTCACTCGCACTTTTCACTCGCACTAGTCCATAGTTTTTTCCGACGAGACCTCCTTATATAGTTGCTTTATGTCTTGGCTTTAGTTGCGCCTAATAGCGGCGAATTCCCGATCGCTGGGAGCGCAATCAATTATAAATTATTCGGCACTGCCGTAGACAAAACAGCAGTTTTTGTTGGTTGCTTTTCTACTCGGCGAATTGAGTGATTTTATTGCCTTTAACACACGGCTTTGGTTCAAGGGTGAATGAACTTGTAGCTTCAATGTAACAGATTTGCACTAAGTACTAAGTGCAAATCTGCACTTGCAAAAACGGAAAACAAAAGGAAAAGATAGAAGAAAAAAAAATGTTCATTCTACCGTTTCACAATTTTCTGCTTAACAAAAAAAAACACGAACAAAAATGTATGGCTTACCGCTTATTTGCGTTTGGAACTTTTTCGATATTCTAAGCGGCTCAGCGGCGGCCTTATTTCTCTTCAGGTATTTTCTGACTATCTTCGTACAATTTTCGGTCGCTGTCAAAGCTCTTCGCACTAAAACTTGGGTTTGGTCTGAGAAGCGACTTGATCGAGTCACGTCCAGAATTGAAAAGACCGTGGCATTAGCTGAACTTCCTGCACACCCCGGTTAACAGCGAAAGTGGGACATACGCCATTTCCCAAATGGTAACATGATTACAAATAAACCTCTCTTCACCTGGAACTTCTACCAACTTGTACCGTCGATCAGCTGATGTACCATACCGGAGCTAGCAAAAATTTACGAAAGTCAAAGGCATACTTTCGGCCTCTAACAAAAAAAAAGTCTAACCCAAAAACAAGCGTCACTACACCCCCAGAAGCACGTAAGCTGCTGCCCTTACAGTTTTTATAAGTTCATTTTCTCCCTCCCTCCCTTCCTTCCCTCCCACTCACATCTTGTGTCTGTATCTGTAACTGTAACTGTATCTGTGCGTGTGGTGGCTGTATCTGTATCTGTGTATTTGCGTTTGTAGTTTTGTTTTTGCTATTTTTAAAATGGAAATATAAATACATGTTGGTTTAGCCACTCTCCTGGTAGTGACTCTTCTCTCTCTCTCTCTCTCTCTCTCTCTCCATCCGCTGAATGTAGTTTTTGTATTTGTATCTACAGTTGTTGACCCGCCCGCACACACACACACACACTCACGCACACGCAAACTCTGAAACATGCCTGAGTCCTGACCACAAACTTCGGTCTATTAATACGCGCAAATAAGCCGCTTAATTAGTCTTTCATTTTCGGGGGCAACATTCGGCCACACCGGGCTCTCTGGTGCTGGCTCTGGCTCTGTCTCTGGTTCTGTCTCTGGTTCTGGTTCTGTCTATGGCTCAGTGCTCTGTGGCTCTGTGGCTCTGTGGTGGGAGCAGCACAGCTCTAGTCGCAACCGCCGACTGCGGCCAATAGCTGTCGGATTTGCAGGGGGCATGTGGCAATGAGGCACTGGGCGTATGCATATTGAAGATGATCGAATCGAATCTCCAACGCCCCCAAAAAAACCAACCGAAGCGACGAACAAATCGGACGTTAATTAAACGCCTCCCATAATAGTATAAAAAACTTTTGCCCGCTTCCCATCCCCTTCCCATCATATTGGGGCCCTCGTTAAGCTGCCACAATCTGTGGCAATCCTGCTCCTCCTGCCCCGCGGGCAGGCAAATTAAAGAACATTTAATGTGATGGAAATACTAAATAATCTTCCGTATTTTCAGCATTCGATTGCACTTGAAATATCAACTATCGCTGAAAGTAGAAAGTAAACTTACCTTTTCAGCCAAACTGGTAGAGAGAAAGTGAGAGATTGATTAGCTGCCACAACTAAGAAGGCGAACAATTCCCTGCTATTTTTTGTTCTTTGTTCTTTGTTTTTGATATTTAAAAGAGTTTCAGCCATTAAAATAAATTAAAGAACATTTTGTTTTTTTTTTAACCATAACCATATGCTCATTTCATTTCTTTATTATGGAGAAACATTTTGTTTTTGTTTTTGTTTTGTTTGTTTGTGTTATTTTTTGCATTTTGCATTAAAACAGAAAAACATACTTTTAGCTTTCATTGTTTCTCCTCTTCCTTTTTTGTTTTGTTTTTCGTATTAACTTCTGTAATAATTTGTATATTCTGCGGTTAGCAAGGGATCGTATCCAACCATCCAATCCTTCCGCTTACAGCTTACGTTAATACGTTAACCCTTTTAACCCTTTCAAACCGCACTTAAAATCGAGAGTCTAAATGTACAATTTATCAGTAAATGAATATTTTACACAGTAACTAGATGATGGACTCTACGTAGAACATTTTCGTTTTGTTTTGTTTTCTTTCTTTTTCTTTTGCGGTTGACAACCAGATAAAAATCCTATCCGTAAAATACACCGAATAATCATCTATATAACTTGTCCACCTTTTTGTTTTTTCATTTAGAGTGTGCTGCGTGGGGATGAGGCATACAATTTGGGTGAATTCAAAAGTTAAGTCAATCTTTCATAAAGAAATCTCAAGGAATGAAGAAAGGACTTTTAAGAGTTTGAATTTGAAGCCTAAACTGCAGGTATTTGTGATCTGGAATCCAGACATTTATCTAAAAGCAGGACAACCTTTTTCTTTTTCTTTTTCTTTTTCTGTCGAGGCACAATCGGACGCATTCCTGCGTCTTTCATTTTACATTTTTAATTGCAAGAAATATAAAAACCTTGAAAGTTGTTTTAGGATGGGGTTTCTATGGGAGGCACATGCTGTGGGAGGAGTCTTCTTTCCTTTATTAAGAGTATCTTCCTCGCAGCAGGCACCTCTACAGTGCGTGCTGTTGTTAGAGGACTTTTATCTCTTTTCCTCTGTTTTCCTGGTTAAAAGTTCCATCGTAATACTGCCACCCGTGCTTCTGTGCTTCTGCTTCTGCTTCTGCATCTTGCAACAGGGATGGATGGGATGTGTACCCTATACATATATGCATGTCTTATAGATAATACTTTTCGTTTAAAGGACACACTGTATATACACTTTAGTTCGTAATAAACGCCTCCTCTGCTGCGTGTCCTCTGGCTCTCCGCATTAAATGCATTCCTTAAGGAGCAGCAGGAGCAGAAGGAGCTGAAGCAGGAGGAGGAGGAGGAGATGCAGTCAAGTGGCAGCTTCTGCTCTGGATGTTGCTTCTGCTTCCTCTGGCGCTGTTGCATCAGCTCCAACTGCAGACATTCAGGAGGCCTGCGGCAATGTTGCTCCAGTTGCAGCTGACGGCCGCCGCTAACAACCACATTGTCGTGGCGATGGCGACCAGTGGCACATGCAAAGGCACTGCTGATGTGTGGCGGAGGCGGAGGCGGCGCAGGAGGCAGCTGGCGCTGCTGTTGCCATGTTGCATGGCTGCCGGATGCTCTCCGTTGATGACGTGCACCATCACCGAGGCAGAGTCTGTATGGGAAGTGATGGCGGGGAAAATGCTGCAAATGTTGCTGGAAAACACGGGGGGAGGCTGGGGACTCTCACCTGAGCTGCTCGGAGAGCAGGTGTAGTTCCCAGAGTCAGCAGGTGTCGCCTTGGCGATGAGCAGCTTGCTGGTGCGCGTCGAGCGCTCTGTGATGACGTTAATGCCACCGCGTTGCGAGTAATTCATCACCCGCTTGCCCTTGTACCAGTAGATGAACGACGGGGGCACTGGCGACTGCATTGCGAGGCACGTGAGATTGATGTCGCTGCCGCTCTTGATGAACAGTTCCGCGTTGCCCAGAATCTTGGCCCGCGATACTAAGAGTGGTAGGTGATAGGTATGGCCCCGAAGGGCACGACTCAATTAATTACTTGGGCCCCTTGTCTTTTCTCTGTGCACTTACCCACGACATTCAGGCGAAAGCCCTGGCTGATCTTTGGCTCTGTGGACACCTGGCACTCGTATGTGCCCGAGTCCCTTGGCTGTGGCGATGAAATGCGCAGTGTCCACTCATCGGATCCCTCGGAGTGCAGCGACTGGAAGCGCTGGTCATTCGTGTACGTTAGAATTCCCACAGTGAGGATGTGCAAGTCCCGCTTGCGTATCCAAGAGACCTTCAAAAAATGAAACAAAATCAGAGTTTTGTAGTGGGAAACGCTCACAGTCGTGCCGCTCTTCAAGTCTCTAAGGTTCCGTTCTCTGCCAACAAACTAAAACAGAACGCACTCTATTATTATGAATAATACGAGCACTGATTTCTGTAAATCATCAACCTTCCACTCCTGCCTTTCGTGTGTGCGTGGGAAGCCAGCCGGAGTCCTTTCATTGTAATTGGAAAACTCTTGACGTCACTAAGAACACAACCATATTATTCTACAGTGTTTAAGTGTAACCCCACAGATATTCGAATACAAAATATTCTCTCGCTTCCTTCCAGAGGGAGGAAGCCTTCACATTGGATCTATTCTTGGAATTGGGAGAGTGGGAGACCTCATAAATTAGGCTACCTGAGAAACAGAGCCAAGGAGAGAGAGAGAGAGAGCCCTGCTTTCACCTCGTTCGTTCGTCCGCTCGTCCGTCCGTCCGTCCGTCCGTCCGTCCGCCCGTCCGTCGGTTTGTTGCAAATTGGGCAACTTTAAATGCTGCTGCCCCAAAAACTTTTCCCATTTGCGGGGGAAGAACGAAAGAGAGGCTGGAGAAGAAAATTCATTAATTGCCTGTTTTGGGGGCTTTGTCTGGGATCTAATTTATGGCTGCATTTTCGGGGGTTACTTAGTGTTCTGTTCGCTGTTCACTGCTGTTCGGATTTTGGTGTACGGTGTTTGGGGAGTAGTTTACTTTAGTTTACTCTTGAATTCCCTGCTGTTTTCCCTGATAGTTTCCCCCCTGGAGACGTACTTAATTCTCCGCCATTTGTTTGGCTTCAATTAATTATGGATTAGCGCCCGACCGGGCTTAAAACCGAGCACATAAAAGAGCCTTTTGATTTATTTTTTAAATTAATATGCATTCATTAACCATTCGTTTCGCTAATTTTCAATTAAAATTAATTGCATTTTACCTCCACCACCTCCACGCCAAATGCAAATAAGTTCAAGGCGACAGCAAGAGCGAGCGCACGAACGCGGCTCGAACGTCGTCGTTCCGTTCCGTTCCGTTCCCTTCTGTTCCGTTCGTTATTTAATTGATTAACGTTCGCTCGTTCCTGGCTGGGCAAGAGGTAAGTGGAGGCAAGTGGCAAGAGAGCGCATGAATGTGTGTGTTTGTGCAACATGACGAAACAGATCTGTCTTTAATTATGATTGATGGGGAGATTCCATTTCATTATGTCATTATTTCATAGGATCATTTAATATTGGGGCCTGTGCATAACATGACACAATTAAAGCATAAATCATGCCCAAAGAGTGATGGTGTTAAAGAGACCATTATTAAGACCATTAACTACTCTCGATATACTGACAATTTCCCAGTCATAGTCCATCGAATTTTCCACTCTTCCACTAACATTTTGTGTTGTTTTTTAATCTATTGTTTGTTTCTAGTAATCCAAGTGTTTTTTCTGAAAAATTAGCCAATATTTCTATTTGAGTCTTCTGTAATCTGTTTTGCAATGTATTTAAGGTATTTTTCGGCTAAATGTGGCTGAAATTTGAACAACATTTCAAATTTTCTTTCGCTTGGGTGACCAGCAATTATGAACTATGAGTGTACATATTTTGCAGAAAGATATCCCCCAACTGCAATTAAGTTTAAGGACCCCTAATCGTCCCTTTGGTTAGAGAGAAACGACATCAAACTACTTGCAACAACTGGTTCATGGGACTTGAACTAGTTCTCAGAACAGCAAGCTTGTGGCGTGTGGCGTGCGGCACACTCAGCTCCATTGGTGATTAGGCTTCACTCACTTTTCCGTTGCACTTTCTTAGCCACTCGTTCTCTTGAAGCGTGCCACACAAAATGTAGAAAAATCCCATTTAGAGGCAAATTTCGGTGTCGTGCTGCATATAGCGACTATCAATTAGCACAGAACGAAGGAGGCACGGACGAGCAATGAAGCAGCAAGCAAGCTGAAGCGGAGTCACGAGGCACGAGGCACGAGGAGGAAAAAGTTTCTCCGTTGCCACATCTTTGAAAGTGAATCCCGAGTTGGGAATCGTGACCTGTGCATTGGGAATCATCGTTGTAATATGCGAAGGATGCGAAGGATGGAAGGGGAGTCTGGGTGTTTGGAGACATTCGCCAATTAGCTGCATATAACAGGAGACAATGCGTTGTCAGGGTCTTGTCCTGTCCTATCCTGCCCCTTCTCATCCTCCTTCTCATTCTTGTGGCATGTGGATTAGGGGTAAGAGTTTCTCGACTCTGCCGCTGCCTCTGCCTCTGACTCTGCTTGGGCGTTAATTACTCAATCCGACGACTGAGTTGCTGAAAGTCGGACGGAGGGTGGCTCGGGAAGGGGCGTCTTGTCTGTCGCCACGCCACGCCAGGCCACAGCAGTGAGCGAGCGCTGACATCGTTGTCGCTTCCTGGTTCGAACGGAGGGGCGAGGGGCGGACAGGAAACGAGGGGCACGAACTGGTGGCAAGACACGGACAACGTAAAATTTATTACACCGCATAATTGCACAGCCACAGAGCGCTTTCAGGACAAAGAAGGGTGCCTGCCACAACGGGGTGGCACTGTGCCACTATGGCTGTGTGGCTGTGTGGCAGTGTGGCAGGGACCGCCCCCTGTTGTTGCATTGCTAACAAATCGCTCGGAGCGGAAGCCGAAGCCGTGTTACAAATGTGCAAACCAGAACGAGCCGCAAACCATGAGAGAGCGACTGAAACTGGAGGCATGGGCATGGGGCATGTGTCAGGGACCAGGGAGAGACCACCAACTTTATGGCGTAATCTTTTAAAAGTAATCTACAAATCTGCCACACGACCACCGCCGCAGGTCGTTTGTTTTGCCACATAGCACCGTCCCTCGTCTTCGTCCCGTTTATGCGAATTTAATGCTGCACCTCCCTTGACCCTTGACCAGTGGACCCTCTGGATTGACCCCCACTTACCGCTCGATCGCCCAGATTGCGAACGCGACAATGGAGGAGCGCCGCCTGCCCCACGGTGGCGGTGACCTCGCGCCTCGAGGAGTTGTCAAAATATGGCTGTGAGTACGGCGTCTCCCAGTAGTGCGGCGGCACCTCGCCGAATACCGCCATGCCTCCGCAGTCTGTGAAAAGGATGCACAGATGGAGAAGGACTCGAATTATGCTCTATGCAGTAGATCTCACCCAAGAGGAGGAGCAGCACCAGCTGCCACAGCCACAGCGGCACACAGGATATGCCCATGGCAGTGCCCGTGCCCGAGCCTTTCAACGGTCTCTGGTACTCCTTCTGCGACATATTTCACGTTTCTCTTCTCTTGTTGATGGATTCCCACTGCGGATGGTATTCCTCCTTCGTTTCTGTTTTACGATTTTAAGGTTTAATAATCTGCCAAAGAGAAGAAAGCAGGAAGAATATTATTACCAACGCTTTTTATGGCTACCAAAAAAAGGTGAAGAAGGAAAGCAAATTATGAATACCAGCTGCCAGATGGCAGAGACAGAACCCACACATAAAGAGAGAGGGATAGAGAGAGAGTAAATGCGGTTCCATCAAAGAAATTGCATTTAAATTGCGTTTCAGGTATACAGAAAAAACTCATGAAATTTTAAGGAAAATTACTTAAAAAATGTAAATTTTTATTCAAGCTCTAAGCAATAATAAATCATTTAAAAATTATTAATTAAACGGCTCGACTCGATTTTGCTAAGGGCTAAGTGCTAAGAAATAGGTTTGATTATAATATTTAGTTTTCCATTGCAGAACTTTTTTTAAAGCATATTTAAAATCTGGTATTTTTGGTTTTAACGTTTTTTTAGAGCTAGCACTTCTTTTATTTCACATAACTTAAGTATCTAACGTCTGGTTGTAATGAGCTAAGCTATTCTTTAAAGCTGATAAAGGCATCTATAATCTATACCCAAACACTTAGTGTTTTTAGCATGCCGTTTGAAAAATATGAAGCTTTGAAATGAGGTATTTTTGACGAATTTTTTACTTTAAAAACTGAACAATAGTCGAATACAATTTAAATCCTGTGTCGGTTTGGTCGAGTAGTGTTATCAATTATACCACAAATTCTGTCATGTAAATGTCATGTTCTGCCATCCAAAATATAATGAAATTAATCACCAAATGGATTTTCCTATGGCTTTAACCAATCTCTAACTTCAGTAATCTATTATATATCGATTCAAGAGCGTATTCCAAAGGATATTTGACCCAAATCGGATTCAGTTTATGGCCTAATTCGAGGTCTGCAATTAAATCTCTTATGGCGTTCCCTCATTTATTGAAGGAAATCAAGAATGGAGATAGGAATACTGTGGGTAGGCTTTCATTAGTCACTCGAAATTACGCTCTACTAGTAATTTTCACGTTCAAATAAATTATATTAGAACTCTTTAGAGGTGGAAATTTAAAAGCGAACCAAAAGTTATGTCCGGGAAATTCAATGGAGCACTGCAAAGGCATTTCCGCAGAATAAATTCTGGGTAATTTCATTTCCGATTTGACGCACAAACTGCATTTCCAAAAAGGCGAAACAACACAGATTGTTGCAACAGCACGAGCTGCAGGAACGTGCAACGCGTATCTCGCTGCAAGAATCAGAACTTCTGCTCCAACTCCCACCTCCTTCCTCTTCATGGATGTGGATAAGGCAATTACGAAGTGGCACAAAGAGGAGAGGGGGCACGGAGAGTAGAGCCAAAGGAAAAACTGAGTAAAAGTCAAAAACTTTGTGTAGGATGAAATTAAAAGTTTCCCCTGCAGTGCTCCTTCGTGTAGCATCATCAACTGCAGTGCCAAAGCCAAAGCTAAACGAACTTGTCAACGATATACTTTTCCATTTTTTATCTTCTGGATAAATCAGATAGACAGATAGGTCATATTAGGGGAGACAGAGAGATATCCCTGACACTTCTGGCTTGCCCTCCCTTTGAGTTCTACCTTTCTCCTACCTCTCTTCAGTTTCGCTCTTGCGGAAATTTGTCAGTCTGTGGCCAGCGGGAGTCTCCTGGAGTCTCCTCCGCCCTGCCGGCTGGCACTCATTATTTATGACTCCAAACTGAGTAATCAGTCAGTGGCCGTTATCCCGCTCCGAATTCCCTATTCGCTCAGAGAAAGGGGCAATAAAAGAGCGCTCTGTTATTCGCTCTCTCTGTCTCTGCCCTCACCACAACCTCTAGAATGGAAGGGTCTTTCATAATCCCGGGTCATTACTCAAAAATATACATTTGTTGTCACTCCAATTAGCTGCGTGACTCCGACTCCTTGCCAAGGGTCAAGCCACGTTCAACGGGTGGCACGGACTCTCCTTTGTGGCTCCACCATTTGTTTTGGTCACTTTTTCGTTCGTCGGCCTTTGCCGTCGGCTTCTTGACTGTTTTCTGGATTCGTTGCCCTTCTTCGCTGGTGCCTTTCGTTCTGTGTTCTTTGATGAAGAAAAAGGTTCTCATAAGCAGCATTTTTCGCGGCTATTACAACGGAATTATCGCCTGTCCAGGGTGTGAGGTGTTTCCTATTTGCCCCTCCTACTGCTTCGCCCACAACACGCCCCCTTCTCCTACCATTCTGTGAGGCTCCTACGTTCTGGCTCCTTCTGCAAATTAAACAAAAGTTGTGTGTTGTGTTGGGTCCATTTTTTATCCGTCTAGCAGCGAATAACATTATTCCGGCTGTTGTTCTTTTTCGAGCTTTTCCAGGCCGCCTGTCTGTCAAAATGAAAGGACGAAGAAGGGACGAACGGACAGTGGACCTTTGCGGGCAGGACACCCTCCGCTACAGTGGACACCCAATGGACAGTGGAAGGGGCAATCTCCCATCATTGTTTGCTTTTTCTGCCTCTTTGCCACTCTCTCTCTCTCTCTCTCTCTCTCTCTCTTTCGCTCTGTCTCTGTGTTCTCTTTCTACCTGTTTTATCTGCTATCCTTATCCTTGGTTTGGCGCATTAAATTAAACTCCTCTTCTCTGTCTCTGACTCTACTCTGTCTCTACTCACGGCTTCTTTTCTCGAAATGACTTCCAAATGACATCAACGTCATCATCATGGGGGGTCCTTCAGCGAGTCCTGCCTGTTGGGAAGTTCTGCCTGCAGTCCTGTGTCTCCCTTTGGGGGCTCCTTTCTTGTTGAGTTTCGCTTATTTCTTTATGTTTTCAGCCAACAATCGAATTGATTGCGCAATGCGCCATAATTAGCCAAAGGCAAGGAATTCACGGATCGACGAGGACGGGCAGCGCGGCCCAAGCATTGCCGCCTCAACAACTGTTGCCTTCAATCAGTCAAACCGAAACCGTCAATCAACCAATCAAATCAAAACGATGCAACAATCGGAGTCCTTTGTTTCCGTTTCTTTTCTTTTCTTTTGGTTTGTTTTTGGGATTTATTTTGAGTCTGTCCGTGGGAAATATTTCCGTTTAGCAGTCACACAGGGACAGGGACAGGAACTCACAGCTATGTGGCAGCCACATAATGTGGTAGGGACATGGACATGGACACGCACCGATAGCACAACCGACAACGACAGCGACAGCGACGATGGCGGCGACAGCGACAAGGACGAGGACGAGGACGAGGACTTTCGTATTATTATATTCCCACCGATGTGGAATGTGGGATGTGATGTGTACTCGTATATATGTTGTTGCCACATTAGGTGGCAAAGCCAGCCCTGTAGGACACACACACTGCCACACACACTTCAACGTACACGAACACGTACACGTACATGTAGAGGTCTCACTGACGCACACACGCGAACAAGGAGGAGGAGGACGGTGGCCGCAGGAGCAGGAGAAGGGCTCGAAGTCTCATTTTGTGTATCCGTCTGCCTGCCTGCCCGCCTGCTTGCTTGCCCAGAGACGTGACCAGCGGTGCCTCCAAGGGATTTAGTTATTAAACGGCTCTTGGCCCTTGCATTCGTCGCGCCTCCGTTCCCGTACCCGTGCCCGTTTCCGTTTCGTTACGTTTCGCTTCGTTTTGTTCGTCTCACTCTTTACTTCATTTTTAAATGTGGCACAATGTAAGAGTGTCTGCCACTGCTCTTGCCACTGCCTCTCCTGCTGCTCCTGGTGCTATTTCTGTGGCTCTTGTGCCTCTAGTAGTCTAGGAATCGTTTGAGATGCCACGCGCACGTTGCATCCTTGCCGTAGGATTCGCGTACTGGAACTGAGACCATCTCGGAGGAGACCTTCGGAGGACACGCTAAAACCTGCGACACACGGTACACGGTACTCCGAAACACTCCGAATGCCGAACGCAGGCGCAGGGAGAGAGCGCGAAGAGAGGGCGGCAGAGAGAGAGAGAGTAGGGAAAGAGAGAAAAGAAAGCCTTTCATTTCAGAGAGCATATCAAATATTAATTTGCCATCCATTTGTTGCCTTCTGCCTCCGTCGTGTGACGTCGTGTGGCAGCATGCCTAATGAGCAGTTTTTTTGTTGTTGTTTTGCATTTTTAAAGGCAAGGGTTTGACTCCCGTTTATCCCCTCGGTCGCTCGCTCGCTCAGTCTCTGAGCCTCTGGGCCTCTAAAAAACCGCAGAATAAGTTACAGGATCTTGGTTTGCTCTCTCTCTCCATTTCTCTGTCTCTTGGCAGCCGCTTTCTGGGTTATTAGCACAACCTGCCTCAACGGCCGCATGCCGCACGAATGAACGAAACAGCAGCCCCGAGTTGCGAGCAGGCCGAGCAACCTGCAGCTCTGAAACGAAAACGAACCAAAACGAACCGACTCCTGGCGAGACGACACGAGACGAGACGAGACGAGTCGAACATAATATGCTGAATAGTCACGTACAAATGAATATTCGTAGTCGTAGTCGCCTCTCTCTCTCTCTCTCTCTCTCTCTTTCTTTTTCTGGCATATTAATATAGTCTACATTTTGGGGGCACCAGCCGCAGACGTACATATATCGGGCAAGGATGGAGTGGGGTAGGCCTCCTCCTCCTCCTCACATGAATGATTTACACTACGACCCATGTTTGGGGCATGAGAATCATGGAAATGTGATTTTTACCGCAATATATAGGTATGTATGTGTGCATCCCCCCACCCACGATTACACGGATACCCCTGTAGCCAGCCTTTGGGATGGCAGAAACAATTGAACAGACAGTTATAGGCCAATTTCGCAGTTTATGTACATGCGTCGGCAGTCGTGAGAGATTTGTGGCGCCTCCCCCTACATCCAAAGGGGTCTACCCCGGGGGGTGGGGAGGGGTCTGCAGCACCTGTCCCTATGGCCTGGCTGCCTCTCTGCTGCTTGTGGCATTGGTCTCTCTCTCTCTCTCTCTCTCTCCCGCGACCATGTCAAATGTTGCGTGTTATGGTCCGCAAATGTTCCTGTCGAAAGCGAAACCCCTTACCAGGGGGAGGGGGAGGGTGTGTGTGTGTGTGGGGAGGCATTTCAACGCATACGCCTCTTTGCCTTGGAGCATCATAAATAAAATGTCTGCCCTGATGGTCTTCCCCGATACTAGAAGGACACAAGTTCCGCCAATGCCTCTTGACTGAAGGAATGCCCTGTAGGGCTACTTATGCATCCTCCATCTCTCTCTCTCTCTCTCTCTCTATCTCTCTCACTCTCTCTCTCTCTCTATGTGGGAATGTGTAATGCAAATTAGAGAGTGGGTGGATATGGCCAAGGGTACTGGGTGCACCGAATTGACAGACAATGGGCCCTGTAATTGACACAGCACCTAGCGGCACATTACGAATGATTAACAGAGCAACCATCCCCCCCCCCCCCACTCCCAGCACACCTCCTGCTCCGTTTCAAACTTCATCGTTCCTCCTGCCTCCTGTAGATGCAGCTATCCTTTTGTCCAGTGTGGATGCATTGACATTTGATTATGGAATTCCATTTGGCAAACGGCAATTGAAAAGGGAATTCAGATTCAGAGATCACTTTGGGGAGCCACACAATTTCTTAGTTAACGGTGAATTGTGGCAAGGACACTTGTGGTATAGAATGATCCTTCAAGCAATGGACTCGCTACATTTACAGGGTATCCCATGGCCTCCTCTATGGGGCTCTATGGCTATGGGCTATAGACTTAACGCTTTCTCCTGGCTGGCCCCCTCCTAAAACCCATTCAAGAAATCAAATTAGTGGAGCAATCTATCCAGCAGCGGAGGTGCCGCCCGCCATTCCGATACGATTACTATCTGGCTTCACCTTTTCGCCAGGCGAATTTATTGTTGCCAATTAATTTGTTAAAATAAGTAGAGTCTTGCCTCGGCGACTTGCCGATGAATTGCCTGCTGCCACTGCCACTGTTGCTGTTGCATGCCCCGGATTCACACAATGAACGGCCTATCGATAAGCGAAAGTGGGAGACGCAGACGTCGTCGCCTCGAATGGGCCACAGAAAATGTATGCCACGTACACGTATTTATCCATTGCTTAGCCTCCATCCATCCATCCATTCAGCTACAGCTACAGCGGCAGCCATTTATTGCCTGCCTCATTGGGTGGGGGGGGGGCATGAATGGGTTTCTCTCTCCTGCTCCTGCAACTGCTTCCGACTCCTGCAGCGCCTCGTCGTTTGCCTTGAATGAATGCTAAATTAATTTCAAATGAATACAAATGGCTTTTCGCTTTTAAGACCCAGGCCAAAACGGCTAAAAGTGGAGTCGGGCATAGTGTGTATGTCGAGGGAGGGAATGTCGGGGAGTCGTTGGAGACGCAGCAATAGGGCCTCCTTCTCCATCGGATCTGAGACTCATTCTCTCCATCTAATCTTCTCTGTTTCTGTTACTCTGTTTTACATTTCGTGTTTCGCTTCCTCCTATTTCTGCTCCACAACATTGGGGCGTAACTCCTCGGGCCTCCCCAGGCCTGCTTCAGATTCGTCTATCTCCCGGTCTAAGGCCTCATCCTACGCCTCCGCCTCCGCCTCCGCCTCCCACTTTGCCTCTAGCTGTCGACACGGCTCACCTGTGGGCCTCTGCATCGTGTTTTTATCAGATGCACCTCCGGCTGAAAATTTACAGCGCCCGCAGTCGGACATCCCTCGCCCATACCACAGGCAGCACAGCACTGCGCTTGGCCGTTAATTCAATTCATCGTAAGTTGCAGAGCACCATGCCCCCTTGTGGCAAGAAGCTATTATCCAATAACTAGGAAACGCTGCTAATCGCGTGAATAGTTTTGGGGGCGGCGCGTAATTGATGTTTACGGGTAAGCGGAGCACACACCCTCCCTTCCTCCCTCCCCGTGCAACGCTTTGCTGGATGGATACAATTTCCATTTCGTTGCCTACTTTTTGGGGCAGCTCCGCACACCTGCCACCTGCTGTGTGTCCATGGGCTCTTCTGTGCTCTTCTGCCACTCAACGATGCCTTGATTTAATGCATTTCATTGAGCTGCAATACGAAAGGGAGTACGAGTAGGGGTAGGGCGTGGAGTACTAGCCACGCCCACTGTAAAATCCACTACGACTCTAATTCAGTGCAGGAATGGGCAATGGAATGGGGCATTGGATTGTAGAATGTACATTCGAAAGGCACTCGTCGAGTGCCGGCCACTTTGCATTCATTATTCAATTTGGCCGCATTTAGATGCGAGGTCCCTGATTAAGACTACCCTCCCCCCACACCATCCATCCATCCATCCATAGCCATCCATCTCTATCCCAACAAACAGAGGAGAGAGATGGGTAAAGGGATTAGAGAATAGGTTACGTTGCAACAACAGAAGCAAAAAGCAGCAACACACAACGAATATATCCCCTCCATAAATAAACGATGCGATTCCCTTTGAGCCGCCTCATTTGAACGCATCTGGGGACGGTAGAATGCCGCTCCGATTGGCCCTCCCTCCTGCGCTCTCAGGATTCCATTCCCTCTCTGACTTTCTGGTTCTGGTTTTCTATTCAGTTCAGTTTAGTTCAGTTTTTCTGTCTGTCTACCAGGTGGAAGTCTCGACTCCTCGACTGTGGCTGATTTTAAGCCATGATGACGGTACAGGCACAGTACCGCCATCGCATCGTTTTGGTTGCATCGATGCTGTCCGAAAAGTGGATCGAGGAGGTCTGCGGGGTGATGCAGATTAATTGAATTAATGCGAAATACGAAATACGAAATTCGAATTGGAATCCAGAATCCAGTATGCTCCATTTTGGATGCGGATTATATAATAAATATTCATTCAGGTCTTCAGGTCTCGGCGAATAATATAATAATAATTCTGTTGGGAAGGAAGTACGGTAAAACTGAGAGACAGAGAGATCACACTCTCCCCTGTCCACACTCGCTCTCCACTGATGTGATGGCCATAACAATTCATTTTTCCCTCGCCCCCCCTGGGGGATACCCCTTTCTACTTTCTCCCACATACAGAAACACACAAACACAAACACACACACACACTAATACACATACACATATTTATGTGTCACATGGACTGTTAAACTTTGTGCATTGGCTCTTCCGCTCTTCATCTGTGTGTATCTATTGATTTATGGCCAGAGCACAGACAGCAGATATACATTCACATCCACATTCACATCTACATCCACATCCACATCCACTCAGACACCCACACACTGACACACAAAGCAAAAGGCCATGAAGGAAAAACAAAGAAAATTGCATACAGCATAGAGTGCGATAGGGAGAGGGAGAGGGAGAGGGAAAGGCAGTAGAACAATATTTATTTATACAACAGACGCACACAATAATTAATTACTTTTCTTCCATCCGTTTTGTGCAAATAATATCATGGGCATGGCCAACAGACAGTCCGTTTCATGGCTCTAGGGCCAATTAGCAGCAGGCGAAGGGAAAGTTGTAGCCCCTCGATGATTCGAAAAGTGTATGCCACTGCAACACACACGCACCACCCCAGGAGCTGACAGACATGCACGGTGCTGATGATATGCACTCTATCTACCCTATGGCCATTTGTTATCGATTGAAAGATCGATGATTTGATATGTGAATTCCTTCAAAGTGATCAAAATTGTAAGTGGAGTGGAGTTCTTCTATGAGATAATAGTAGAGAAAATGATTACGAATCTAAGATTCCCACTTTATGTCTTTGTTTCTTCTTCTACCACTTAGTCCCTTCCTCTTTTGAAATCTCTAATACTAGCATACCTTTCCACTTGTTAGTTTCATTTTAGCTCTTTTAGTTGTGTTTAGCTCTCATTTTCCTCGAAT